GAGAGACGAGAGCCAGAAAGGGACGAGAGAGAGAGAGAGAAGGGGGAAGAATAGGGATAAAATTAGGGTTTAGGTTGGGTATTTAAGATCAAAAATGCTACTTGTATATCAAGAATTGTACATAATGATGTACATCACACTCACATGGGGGTGGACTCACGTGTATAAAATATTTTTTTTATTCAAGCGGGTCCCACCCCCATGTGAGTGTGATGTACACACCTATGTACACCTTGATGTACCGGTAAAGCAATTGTTTTTATCTTCATTCTTGCGAAGATATGTTGTTTTTGTATTGTTTGGATGTGATGTATTTGATGTGGACAATGTCTTCATTGGTGAAACGATCCACCTGTAACACATTTGTCAATTTTGGTATGAAATTTGCTGCTATTGTTGTTTTGTTTGGATTTGGTAGGATGTATTTGATTTGTTTGGATTTGGTGGGATGTATTTGATGGACGAAAATCAATAAGATATAGTCGAGTGTAAAGAAGTTGTCAATATTTGCTGATAGTAAAGTAATAGTAAAAGAAATGACTAGTAGTATGCAAAGTACTCACAATGGCTCTGATACCAAGAAGAAAATACGGAAACGAAGTGGAAAAATAAATAAAAGGCAGATTATAACATTATTGAATGATGACCAAAGGCCATAAGCACTTAGTACACTTTTGTTCCTATTTATTATAAAATAAGAATACCAACTTTCCATTATTTTGTGACTAATGTCTATCCAAACAATAGATAACAAATATCAAACAACAATTTAACAACTTCCATCCTTTAATTTGCATTTGATAATCTTATCAGAACGCTTAGTACACATTTGTTCCTATTTATAATAAAATAAGAATACCAACTCTCCACTATTTTGTGACTAAAGTCTATCCAAAGAATAGATAACAAATATCAAACAACAATTTAACAACTTCCATCCTTTAATTTGAATTTGATAATCTTATCATTCTAAGATTTTCTAGTCTCATCCTCATCATTTCTGTTGTGATTTGTGTGACATTTCTAACACACCCCACAGAGTACTCACGCCGAACCACACCGCACCCAACCATCGTGACAACTCCACCACCGGACATAGCACATTACCCAACCACCGCACACAACACCCAATCGACACACCAAAAATTAAGAAAAAAAACTGCTGTGCACGAAGGAAAGTCATCATTGCTGCACCGTGATGACTGGAGTTCGCATCAGTCGCTTATAGCGATGACTGGAGTTCGCAACTGCGACGAGCTCCGCTATCTTCGGCGGTAGCTGTGCGAGGAAGGGGGGAGAGAGAGACGAGAGGCTGGTAGAGATGAGAGAGAGAGAGAGAGGAGGGGGAAGAATAGGGATAAATCGTTGATGCACCGTGATGAGTCGCTGACATCAGTCGCTCGCAGCTGCGACGACCTCCGCTATCTCCGGTGGTGGTTGTGCGAGGAAGAGGGGAGAGAGAGAGAGAGAAAGAGAGACGAGAGCCAGAAAGGGACGAGAGAGAGAGAGAGAGAGAAAGAAGGGGGAAGAATAGGGATAAAATTAGGGTTTAGGTTGGGTATTTAAGATCAAAAATGCTACTTGTATATCAAGAATTGTACATAATGATGTACATCACACTCACATGGGGGTGGACCCACATGTATAAAATATTTTTTTATTCAAGCGGGTCTCATCCCCCATGTGAGTGTGATGTACACACTTATGTACACCTTGATGTACCGGTAGCAAAACCGATTTAAGATTTAGACAGAGCAGATAGATAAAATAGATTAATTAATATATGATTTTTGTATAAATAAAAGTTATATCTGAAATTTCAAAATAAAACTTTAAAATTATGGTTGTATGTAATTTCCACTATATACCCTCTCTCCCATCTGTTTCCTCTGTGTGATTTGAAAAAGAAGGAAAAATGTCTTGTTTTGTGCTTGGACCGAAGTGGCTACCTTGTTGATTCCTTCTTCATTTTCGAGCCTTATTCCTTTGATTTTTCCCTTGCTTTTATGGCTGTAAATCACCACCACCGTCATCCTTTGTGGGTGAGAAAAACTTAAAGCAACGGAGTGTAGAAGTTGTGGGTCAAGCCCTAGTTCGTTTAGTTGATTTCTGAGCCCAACATAATAGATTTCTCGAAGATTTCTGTGACACCTATATTTTATATTGCATTTGCTAATAAAGCCCCTTTATCTTTTATGGAATATCTTTGAAAAAATCCCACATGAATCAGATTAAGTTGATCTACTTAAGTTGCTAAAAGGATTAAGAACCTTGAAAATAGACAGCCATGAATGGGTGTTAGGTTGTTGGAAATGGCTTCCCACCAATTTGTAAGCACAATTCTCTTCAATTTCATTTAACCTATGTACACCTTGATGTACCGGTAGCAAAACCGATTTAAGATTTAGACAGAGAAGATAGATAAAATAGATAAATTCATATATGATTTTTGTATAAATAAAAGTTATATCTGAAATTTCAAATTAAAACTTTAAAATTATGGTTGTATGTAATTTCCACTATATACCTTCTCTCCCATCCGTTTCCTCTGTGTGATTTGAAAAAGAAGGAAAAATGTCTTGTCTTGTGCTTGGACCGAAGTGGCTACCTTGTTGATTCCTTCTTCATTTTCGAGCCTTATTCCTTTGATTTTTCCCTTGCTTTTATGGCTGTAAATCACCACCACCGTCATCCTTTGTGGGGTGAGAAAAACTTAAAGCAACGGAGTGTAGAAGTTGTGAGTCGAGCCCTAGTTCGTTTAGTTGATTTCTGAGCCCAAAATAATAGATTTCTCGAAGATTTCTGTGACACCTATATTTTATATTGCATTTGCTAATAAAGCCCCTTTATCTTTTAAGGAATATCTTTGAAAAAATCCCACATGAATCAGATTAAGTTGATCTACTTAAGTTGTTAAAAGGATTAAGAACCTTGAAAATAGACAGCCATGAATGGGTGTTAGGTTGTTGGAAATGGCTTCCCACCAATTTGTATGCACAATTCTCTTCAATTTCATTTAGCTTCATTGAAGTACAAATTGGTCAATATGCCAATAAAGTAATAATTACAAGTTAAATTAAATGTAGCTATATAATCGAATTTAGGTTAGTTGGTGCAAAATTTATTGATAATATTAGTCATAAAATCATGAATACTGAGCTCAAGGATGGTTGCTCGTGATGCTCTTATTTATCTTGATTGATGAACTTTCGTCATGTTCATTTAAAAACTAATATGAATTTTTCAAAATTTAACTAAATTATAAAGTGATGCATCATTAATGTCCTCGATGTAAATTGAGAAAATTGGTATACCTTTTTGCCTTGCACTAGAGTCTTAAACGAAGCAGGCATAGCCTTATGCATGGTGTAAGAATAATTTAAGTAGTCGCATGATTAACGAGGATGATGGCGAGTAACACAATTAATGTTATTGTGATATTAGGCATAATATATATATTGGTATTATCGGGAGTAAGACTTAGGCCGTGTTTGATAGGCCGTATTTTACGGGGAAGTAGGAAAATATTTTCTACTTTCCACTTTTTTGGCTGTTTGATAGACGAAATTTTCCACGGAAAATATTTTCCGGATTTTTCTCACACGTGTGCATTTTCCCGATTTTTGATGAAAATGTTTTCCTGGCTTTTTGGTGGGAAAATATTTTCCCGACTGGCTG